TGGGTGGGTGTGGGTGGGTGGGTGGAGAGGTGGGGGAGGGGTTGCGTGTGTGTGTGTGTGGGGGGGGTCTGTGTGTGTGTGGAGAGGGGGGGGGGGGGAGGGGGTGCGTGTGTGTGTGTGGGGGGGGGGGAGTCCGTGTGTGTGTGTGGGGGGGGGTGGAGAGGGGGGGTACGTGTGTGTGTGTGGAGGGGAGGGGGTGCGTGTGTGTGTGTGGGGGGGGGAGGGGAGGGGTATGTGTGTGTCTGTGTGCACATGGTGTGTGCATCTGTGCCACTATGTATGGGTGGGTGGGGGGGGGTTGTGGGCGGGTGCAGATATGGTGATTTGGAGGTGCCGTTGTGGACACCCTTGTTCTGACACAGGTACTGTCCTTCGGGGAAACAATGTTACGTCAGACACCATGTGTTGATCGTAATGCAGAGGAGGTGCTTAGTTTTGCCTGTTTCCAAATCCTGTATCGCTTCTGATTCATTTTTCTATGTGTGTGTGTGGGGGGGGGGGGGGGTAACCATAATTATTTTGAAAAAAAAAACATATTTGTTCCCCAGGGAAAATGGACGGTGGGCATGTGTGTGGGATTCTGGGTAGCCTAGTCGGTGGCACACTATCCCAGAAAAACAAGCGTGCTGCGTTCAAATCCAGGCCGTTGATCTTTGCTTTTGCAACCCATGGCCTGTGGTCAAGCCCACGACTGTTTTTCTATGCTTGTCTAACTTTCCACGATCAGAGCTGTGTGTCTGCACACCGAGAATCGCACTAAACTAGCCACTGACTATAGAGTGGTCTCATATCTATCAGATGTGACTATACAGGGGAGCCATGTTGGTTTCAACTCCACACAACCCATGCATCTAGTATGGGTCACACAATGTCTGTGGCCATGTTGGTTCCAACTCCACACAACCCATGCATCTATGGGTCACACACAGGCGCGTAGGCAGGGGGGGGGGGGTGGGGGGGGGGGGGGTGCTTTGGGTGCCAAAGCACCCCCTCAAAAATGTCGACCATGGGTCTGGCTTGGCATGCATTGTATGATCAAACAACCGTGACTGCCCTCAGCCCAGACTGGGTGCATGCTACGTAGATCTGCGAGTACTGCATTGTACTACACGTGCTTGCACTTTTCCGTTGCAGTCAGTGTGCAAGTATTAGTTACTCCATGAACAAAGTGGTCTCAAATTCCTAAAACGCGCTACTTGTGGCGCATGTTGCTGCGAAGGTAGCAGGTCTGAAAACACCGACAAAATCAGCGAAGCGCTTGCCAAGGAAAGAAGGTGCGGAACTGCTTACCCTACCCCGCTGGAAGGTCGTTACAGTGTACTTGAAAAATGCTAGCTTGCCTTCATCCCCTGCCACGTGGAGGCATGGATCGCTTGAAAACGAAGTTTCTTGACCTGAATTTGAACGCGCGTCTTCTTCAGCGTATTGTTGAGTGCTGAAGGGTCTGCCTCAAACTCTGCTGAAGACGTCGGTAAAGGTATAGTTTAGGGTCCCAAATTATTTTAGTGGGTCAGCATGCTCTACAGAGTCCCAGGCATGCACATTACACATAGGCCTTGGCCACAACTGACATCGAATACGATGTGGATGGACAACCACTGGTGTATGCAAAATCACCTTACGATGCGAACGAAGACGGCGCAAAGGACCATGAAAATCGCCTGAGTTTGAAGCTCGGTGATGCCGTGCGTGTCTTGAACACCTCCCCATATGGGCAAGGGAAGGTGGTGGGTAGAAGTCAAAATATTCGTCGTTCTGCCAGGAGGCTTCCTCCGCGCCGCGCAGGTCATCCTCAGTGCCAAGGAATGATGATGGAATGTAGCCAGAGTCGCCATCGACTTCTACCCACCACCATCCCTTGCCCATGGAGGTGTCCAAGACACGCACGGCATCACCGAGCTTCAAACTCAGGCGATTTTCATGGTCCTTTGCGCCGTCTTCGTTCGCATCGTAAGGTGATTTTGCATACACCAGTGGTTGTCCATCCACATCGTATTCGATGTCAGTTGTGGCCAAGGCCTATGTGTAATGTGCATGCCTGGGACTCTGTAGAGCATGCTGACCCACTAAAGTAATTTGGGACCCTAAACTATACCTTTACCAAGACGTCGACCTTAGCTGCAAGTGCAGCGAAGCGGGAGGCCACAAACTAAAGCTTGGTCCGTCGACAATGCTCTGCCTCAATTTCTAGCTGATTTCTTTGCCCCTCGAGTGGACAAAATAAATTTGAAAATCTCTCTGGGAAGCAACAATTTTAATGACGCGGAGGAAGTAGATTGTTGGAATGGCAAGCTGGAGACATTCATAATACATAAATAATTCAAGGTGTACACCGCACTAGCATGCATACAATATGCATACATGTACAAGATTCCTCAAAAGAACGTCGTTTTTGGAAGAAAAATTATGGGCACCCTCCTTGACCATGATCCTGGCTACGCCCCTGACACAATGTCGGTTGCCATGTTGGTTCCACTGTCCACACGGCATGATTACTTTTTGCACAAATATAGTCATGTGACCAATATGAAACCACTCCCGTGCATTCGTTTTCACACAAACACTGCAAAGCGAGCTGTGATATTTTGCTCGCAGAAGCCTTTGCTCTGGCCCTGTAGTTTACGACCCTGGCACATAGTTACTGCAACATACCGTAGTGTCTTGTGTTAAAGCCTGTCTCGTATAGAGCCCTGCTTTGAATACAAGCCTGATTCTCAAGATGCACTGGCAGTACATAAGCCTGGTTTTAGTGTTGACATACATAGAAATACCTGGTTTGAATAGAAGCCTGTTGTGAATAGAAGCCTAGCCCTTACATCGGCTTCTACAGGAATACGCCCGGCTTTATTACGCGACATTACGGTATATGGCAAACTTCACGTGATTGCAAGTGAGTGAAACCTGTCTCAAATTCGAGAGCTAATGATTGCGAATCCAGTAAATCCTGCCCCAGAGGACCAATCTGAAAAAGGCAAGCGCCTGCATGTATTCGAGGAGACCACAATGATCGCGACTGAACCGTTCTTTTTCTTGTTTGTAGTCATTTGAAGCAGAGTGCGGAGGCCGTCCGACGTGTCTGTAGGCAACCTGGACGTCACAGAAAGTGACGATGTGAGTCATGCTTCTCTATGCATGGATATAATTATTTATGGTTAGGAAAAAGAGTTCTCAGTGGCCGGCCATCATAAGCATTTTGAGTGTAACTGCTTTGTGTTGTCTGTTTTGCCCTGCCTTTTGTGTCCAGTCTGACTTGTTCAAGATCGACAATGCTGAGTTCTCCGTTGAGAAGACCATGACATCGTTGAATGACCTAATCAAGCACTCCAAATCCACCGCCATCACCCCAATGAGTAACTGTGGTGGCGTTGGCAGGATCAGTACCAGCGTCCAGCGGTGACAACAGCAGCAACAGTAGCAGCAGTGATGACGTTAGCAACAGCATTAGCAGCAGTGATGACATCAGCAGCTGTAGTAGCAGCAGTCACTACGGCAACCACAGTCACGGCGGCTGTGATGATGCGGGTAGCAGCAGTCACTATGGCAACCGCAGTCACGGCGGCTGTGATGATGCGGGTAGCAGCAGTCACTATGGCAACCGCAGTCACGGCGGCTGTGATGATGCGGGTAGCAGCAGTCACTATGGCAACCGCAGTCACGGCGGCTGTGATGATGCGGGTAGCAGCAGTCACTATGGCAACCGCAGTCACGGCGGCTGTGATGATGCGGGTAGCAGCAGTCACTATGGCAACCGCAGTCACGGCGGCTGTGATGATGCGGGTAGCAGCAGTCACTATGGCAACCGCAGTCACGGCGGCTGTGATGATGTGGGTAGCAGCAGTCACTATGGCAACCGCAGTCACGGCGGCTGTGATGATGTGGGTAGCAGCAGGCCCATGGCAGTAGTAATGGCAGCGATACCAGTACTCAGTACTCAGTAGTGGATGTGAGGATACCACCAGCAGAACCAATAACACCAGCAGGACCAGCAGTGATGCCATAACACCAGCAGGACCAGCAGTGATGCCATAACACCAGCAGGACCAGCAGTGATGCCATAACACCAGCAGGACCAGCAGTGATGTCATAACACCAGCAGGACCAGCAGTAATGCCATAACACCAGCAGTGATGCCATAACACCAGCAGGACCAGCAGCGGAGATACCACCAGCAGGGCCAGCTATGTTTCCAGGAGGAGCAGTAGCAGCACCAGCAGCAGGAGCAGCAGCAGGAGCATCAGCAGCGGCTTTGACAACGCCAATGGCATTGGTGACGGGAAAAAGAGAAGCCCCGGCAACAACAATAGGAAGAGAAGTAACGAATGTAACGAATGTAACGAGGGCAACAGCACTAGCAGCAGTCAAAGTCGCAACGGCAGTATCAACGATCAAGGTAGAAACAGCAATAGCAGCTATAACAGCAGCAACAGCAGTAGCAACAACAGTCAGGGCAGCAATAGCAGTAGCAACAGTAGCAACAGTAGCAACAGCAGTAACAGCAGTAGCAACAACAGTCAGTGAGCAGTAACAGCAGTAGCAACAACAGTCAGTGAGCAGTAACAGCAGTAGCAGCTATGACAGCAGCAACAGCAGAAGCAGTAGTGACAATAGCAACAGCATTAACAGTGGCCACGCTGACAAGACCAGTAGCAGGTCTGAGGACGGCAGCAGTGACATTGCGATGATGCTTGAGTGATGAAGCCTGAACAAGGTCTGGAGTTCCTGGGAAGAATTGAAATTCACGACAGTCGATAGATGCCGGCAAGTAATGTCTTTTTTGCGCTGAGTATTGCCAGTGACACTGCATGCCTGCCATAGGCCAACACCCAATTCCAATCTCTGTAGTGAAAAACACCATGGTTATGTCATCCTCCTTTTACTGAAGTACTAAGTTTTAGCATTTTAAAACTCTTAGTTGACCGGATCAGGGAGTAGTAAAATACCTCCCTGGTTGAGATATTATAGTTATTCATTTTTGTTCCACTGAATTTTCATTGGTACTGAAGCTCTGCACGTCGTGGTGCACTGCGCACTCACTGCACTCTGACCAGTACAGTAGTCAAAGCCCGTGGTCTCTATCGCAGGTTCTCTGTATCTCAGGTTCTCTATATCCCAGGTTCTCTATATCCCAGGTTCTCTCCATCCCAGGTTCTCTACATCCCAGGTTCTCTCTATCCCAGGTTCTCTATATCCCAGGTTCTCTATATTCCAGGTTCTCTGTATCCCAGGTTCTCTGTATCCCAGGTTCTCTGTATCCCAGGTTCTCTGTATCCCAGGTTCTCTGTAGCGGTATTCCAGCTACAGTGTACTTTATATCCGAGGTACGTCCTATCCGAAGTCAACTGACCTCAGTGACGGTCTTGAAAATAGCATAATTCATATCCCCATCCGTTAGTAGACTGGAACTCTCGGATACCAGTGTAACCCGTGTACTCTGCAAGGCAGTGCGAGTACCGTATACGCACAGCTATCCACTGTAGTATCCATCCAGGCATTCCGCCTACGGTGTACTATTTATGTGTATACAAATTACGTGTCATAAAGTAGCCATGCTACACTAGTGGTAGTAGTACAGCTCAGATAAAGTACCAGTACTTACATGTACATGTAATTACTGTTTTCACTGAATTGAAGATTCGCCCAGGCGCTTGGCGCGCATAGGGCACGGGGAGGGGGTCAATTATATATTTATATTTATTACAACATCTCAAGACTGGTGGAAACACCGGCCAATGTGAAGAGAGTGGGTGATTGCCAACCACACCCCCTAAAAAATGTCAGGTTCAACATGCACATAATGACCATAAAAAAATTAATGGCATGCACCAGCGCAGGGATTCTTCACATACATGTATGCGGCCGTGCACCCCCCCCCCCCCCCCCCCTGCTCCCCCAAAAAACGGGGACCATCTACTAGTACACGCCTGTTCACCGTACTAGTACTGGTTCCTATGGACTTTGTTGCCTTCCTGTTCAATACCTTCTGCCAATAGTAGTGGCACAGATCATACACATGCGCACACGCACACACAAGTGACATGCATGCACACACTCACACACGTACACATGCACACACGCACACACAAGTGACATGCACATACACACACACACACACACACACGTGCAAACTCACACGCACTCACATTCATATTCACACTCCGAGGCACAAATATTATTCATCCTCAAACCACATTACACATAAGGCCAAAACAAATAATGACCTTGTTTCCGGTCGCCCGACCGGGCCACTTTTTCCCAAATTCTGAAACTTTTTTTTGGTCCCAAACGGTGGCAATGCCATGTGTGCAAGTGCACTCAACGAGTCATAACTCAGTCAAATCTCGACCGAATTCCAGAATCGAAACACCTACAAGGTAGCAGAGATTCTCAGCTGTCGGCTCGAAAACCTCCGGGGTCGATACGAGCTAGAATAACAGAGCTGGAAGGACTCGAACTGTTTGCTTGATTTCTCAGAATGTACGAAAACAGGAATACACCCGAACAGTGAGTCAGTCAACTAATTTACTTTGACATTGATCCTTGCCATTATATGTACAATGTACATGTGTAGGTGCTCTTGTCCATCAATACCACAACGATTGAGGAACCAAAAAAAAGTATCCAAAAAAAGTTTCATTCCGACCGACCGAGTCTCCTTTTTGAGGGGTTGCCGACCGGAAACAAGCCTATTTTTTGTTTAGGCCTAACTAGCCTTTTGAAGTACTAATGGAGTAATGGCATGCAGTGCAAGCTGTCGCAGTATCGGACATGACGACAGGTTGCACCCAACTCAGTCACACTTGACTTGATTATGAACGGATAAGAGCCTCGAGGCCCGGTTGGTCTGGCCCTTGCCCTTGCCCTTGGAGTTGGAATCCGAGTATGGAGTCCATAAACTAGTACATTGACATTGTAGATCTCTCTATCTACATTTATTATTAATTTTTATTCTTCTTTTACTAGGGAATTCCCAACAGGCGTCAGCGCCTTTTTACAGGGAACCCAGTCATGACTGATTGTGTTCTGCCTGTGTGGAAGCACAGTACAACTACAACTAAGTACAAGCACAGGCGCTGTAGTGTAGGCACGACAAAGTGGTGATCCAGGGCAGCGGAGCTGCCGCTGGTGTACATGGTGCCGTGTAGATCTTCACACAGGACAGGTGTGCAAGTGGGTTTCAGGAACGGAGTGTCAAAATAATAATCTATGACCATGATGACAGTATTATGTATCGCGTGCCGGCCATGTAACAGTGTTTTGTGCAGCCTTCTAATACTATTCTCGTTCTAAATAAACTGAAATTTGTATCGCAGCGCCTACAGGCATGCTGTCCTTGGGGCTTGGACGCAGTAGTTGCACTGATGAGTGATGAGTGGCTGCACTGACTCTGTACTCTGTAGACCTAGTACCTACCCTCTACGGCTCTACTACTAGCTCTACAGCTGTGTCCATGTTGTGCCCATGCACAGCCGGCCTAGCGTGACTGACTGTCACGATATGTACGGTGCACCGGTGGTGGTGGTGGTGGAGATGGAGATGGCGGTATTTCCGACAAGATGTTCCATGCTGTGCGGTCTCTGGTGAGGCGCAGAGGACGGACAGTTCCGAATTTGCAATGAGAAATTGCCTAGCAAGGTTGTGATTATGGCCGTATAGGTATTATTAAAATTCTTACCAAATTCCTTGACTTTTGAAACGACGGCAAAATCAGTGGCAGAGGCACAGGCAGCGTACCGGAATGCACATTCGCATTTTCAACCTGTGCGCTAAGACAGTACCATACAATTCGCTCGTAGCGAACAGAGCCGCTGTGAGCAGAGAGAAGCGCTGCGCGAGGACAGCGGCTGAGACGAGGGGATAAAAAGATACAGGTAAGCGTTTTGTATGAAACTGCGGAGTGTGCGGAAAGCAAGAGAATAGCTAGTGTTCTCTTCGGTGATGATACCGGTATCGGTCGTGTGCCGGAAGCGGCCGCTGTTACGGAGGATTTCCGTACGGTCGGAAAGTCTCTACCACACAGCATGCAACGGAGCGAAGAACACTAGTTTAGCGTTTCAAAATAATTACATTGCGTAACTGTACAAGCATGCACAGCGGGGGAGACTGAAACAGACTGAAACTCAACACGGTGATGACTGATGTATCTACCTACATTCGTCCCTCTTTTAATCCAACATGATAATTGGTATACAGCAACACCCTCAATAAAACACAGCATAATGTCCAGTAACCGAAATCCGCTGCCTTGTCATTGAGCATTTGTGCTCGTTTGGATTTGCGAATTCAAATAAAGTATACAAACAAAACAAATGTCATCTTGTTGCAGCAGTAAATCAGATTTGTTCCATTCAGCCTCCTTCCTAATATCCAGCAGAAATTCCTTGGCACAAATGGTGCGGGATTATAAAGTGACCACCACCGCTGTGCTGTCTTGTTGTTACTAATACGGTGAAACCTGTCTAAGGCGACCACCGCTCAAGGGACCTTCAAAATGTGATCTCTGCTACCAGGTGGTCTCCTTATCCAGGGTCGCTTGACTGCAAATAGCATCCCTTGGCACTGGATACAGTGGTCTTCTGGGGCAGGTGGTCACCTTATCCAAGTGGTTGCCTTGACAGGTTTTACTGTAGCTGTTACCTGTAGAACATGTGCATGCTTTGGTTACCAGTACAGTAAACCTGTCAAGGAGACCACTCGGATAAGGTGACCACCTGTCCTGGAAGACCACTGCAGCCAGGACCAAGGGGTGCTATTTCCAGTCAAGTGACCCTGGATAAGGCGACCACCTGGTAACAGAGACCACATTTTGAAGGTCCCTTGAGCGGTGGTCGCCTTAGACAGGTTTCGCTGTATTTTGCTTTTTGAGAACAGCGGTATCATTTACAATAAAGAAAGCGAGGTCTATTCTCAAGAAAGGTTTGCGTCAGGCCATTGCGGAATCGTTCGCGTTGAATGCAGCACCGATGTTTGTGGACGAGGAAATGTTTCCCTTTAATATCATCAGTATTTCCAAGAGTCCATACCCACCCACCCACCCCCCCTCCCCACCCCCTCGAGTATTCTTGATATCCTAAAAATCACACACCAACCGCCTCAAAACCACATGATACAACCCTGATTGACCCGATTGGCAGTTCTTTTCTTGGGTGTATTGGTTGGTGGGTCATTTGGGCTCTCTCTCCTCGTGAACAAATGTTCACCACACAGTCTGCACATCAATATCTGCTGACTGCTGCTCTGAAACTGCAGACTTCTGTGGTAAATGTATGTACCATGTATAAGCGAGTACTCTGATCTATTCCGAGTACGATTATATTCGAAAAATCCAAACGAGTATTCGAATATTCGGTATAATTGTTTCACCCCTAGATAGTGTGTAAGCCGCAGCGACGTTTTTGCAGTGAATGTCTGGTGTTTAAAGCGTGGCGTATACGCCGGAAAATACGGTATACACGTGCGGCTTTCACTCGTATTCGTACTCTTAGTGCACCCAGTGTTCCAACTACTGAAAATCACAAGCTCCAGATATTACTGTGAGTTGACTCGTCGGATGGTACTGCTGTTAGTTGTATGAACACCGAGTGGCGCATGATCACAGCACACGTGGAGCTAAATGATTATATCGTTGCAGTGGCCGTGGTCCACCCTGTGTGTGTGTGTGTGTGTGTGTGTGTGTGTGTGTGTGTGTGTGTGTGTGTGTGTGTGTGTGTGCGCCTGTGCGCCTGTGTGTGTGCTTGCATGTGTGCATGCATGCCTGCGTGTGCAGGCATGCTGAGGCGTGGTCTTTTTGGAAGTCATCTTGGCTGGCCAAGTAAAGTTTTACGTCGGCATTCATGCAGTGACCACTAGACAATTCCATGCCCCCAGACCCCCCCCCCCCCCCCCCTGTCCTGCCCTTCAGGAATGGGCTATTCTGCCTTGCCAGTTGCTCATCTACAATGTAGCACTGGGTGACTGAGTGGTGCTGTGAGTTGTGAAGTAACTGTCGCACAGCTGTCATTTACCTGTATCTGTAACACGGCGACAGTTATTAACACTTTGTCGAATAGAGGGCTTGTCTCGCTCTTCTTTGATTCCTCCTTCCGTTCGTTCCCTCTCCCGCAGTAGCCTCTATATACAGTAGTTGCCCAGAATACCACTTATCACAGCTGTACCCAGTCCAGGACCACACTTCGTATTTCATCTGGTCGCAACAACAAGTGATTTTTATCTCTTATTGACCATGTAAATTTAAATTGGAAATGATCCTGAAGTGAGCAATCTGCACTGTATATGTATGTACCGTATCTGCACTGTATCTGCACTGTATCTGCACTGTATCTGCACTGTATCTGCACTGTATCTGCACTGTATCTGCACCGTATCTGCACTGTATATGTATGTACTGTATCTGCACTGTATCTGCACTGTATATGTATGTACTGTATTTAGAAAAGCGATCCTGTCAGCTTTTCTATTATTGTGTTCACATGGCAGAAAAAACGACATCGCTATGCTACGTAACTTTCTACGTAAGGTGCTCGGTATTTCACTTAGGCTACGTAAGTCTCTACGTAAGGTGCTCGGTATTAGATCTACCAACGCGTGGTAGCCGTGTGCTGTGCACGTGCACGGCAGACATTGTGTTCAGTGCATGCAGTCCGCGGATCCGTGTTCGGATGTGCATGCGCGAGGAACTTCCTTCTTTGGAACTGCTTCTTGTATGAGCTGTTTCGGATATTTCGTCTCATGGCCTGGCTTATTACTTTTCGGCGCTGCTGAGACCTCCTTTCGCGGAATATTACCCAATGACAGGTGAGTTGACCAGTTGCCTTTGATTCATTTGCTTGTGTTGACTCTTTCATTCAGGAAAAGTGTGCTGATTTTGGGGCGGAATGCAATAAATAATGGAAAAGTTGACAGGATCTCTTTTCTAAATTTTGCTCTTCTGCTGCCGAGCTGCGAGGCCTCCTTTTACGGAATACTCGATGACAGGTGATCTCTAAGTTGACCGGTTTCCTTCGATTCATTTGCTTATGTTCACCTTTTATTTACGGAAACGTGTGCTGATTTTATTCGGATTTAGATCCATTGTTATCTCTTTGCCCTTGTCTACAGTGTGCGAAGAACGCGAGTTCAACTTCTTGACGGTAAGGCTTATGTTAGATGTGTTGTCGAAATACTCATATTCATTGTACATTGGTACGTTACAAGTAAGGCACTGGTCAGTGGCATACTATCGTTGGCAGTTCCCAATCTGGAGGGAAAGGTTCAAGTACCAATTGACCGAGTTTGCAAAATAAATTCGCATATCAGGGGAAATCTCTATTGTGGAGAGGTTCAGTAACTTGTTTGTTTCATACGAAACAAGCCAATGGGTGCAGTCTCGTCTCGTGAAAATCTCGTACTTGTATGATTGGATTTGTTTACTCAAGTCTGGGCTGTTTGATTTGTGAATGCCGCCGAGATTGCACTGCCCCAAATAAAGTTTCGTGCCGCCAAAGCAAGAATTACGATCTGCAATCTGTTTGTAGTACCTGTAAGAATGTGGAGTACATGTGTCGTACTTTCTCTGTTGCTGTTTCAGTTGCCGTCATGTAGAAAGGTTCAGTAGAGAGGTTCTGCAAAACGAAAATTCGAACGACGTTTCGCGACAGTCCTTGCGAAAGTGTGTGCGAATTCTTGCACGAACTTTGCGTTCTGCACATTTTCGTAGTTTGCGCGGGCCAAGTGCACGTACGCCATGACCCGATCTCACGAAATTTCCTACAACAGTTCATTTCGCGTTCCCTGCAAGTTTCGCGTCCAAAGGTGCGAAGTTTCGCACTTCATGATGTAGAGCGAAAGTTTCTACGCATTTTCGTTTTGCAGAATCTCTCCAGTGACTCAATTGTTTCGTACGAGACGAGTCAATTAGTCGGTGTGGCTTAGAATCTTTCGCTGTAGAAGAAATATATTCGTATGTCTATTGGAGATATAATTGTATTCTCTGGTTATAAAATAGGTTAAGCTCACAGAATAAATACCATCGGTCCCTTGGTGTTCGTCCTAAAGAGGTTCGACGGGATATCATTCATACTCACCAAAAGATGTGTAAGATTTTATTATTGTGGAGTGCCTTGTTTATCTCTCAGTACCTCCGACCATAGCCTTGCCCCTTTTCTCCTCAGGATCAGTGTAGTTGTTGGAACGAGGTTTTGGACTCAGCAATGTATTCGTTTACATTTTAATACATGTTTATTGTTCCTCCTTTGCTGTGTTGTTTTAGACAATCGTGGACTAACAGTTTGAAGTCATTGAACTACTTCCAAAAGTTGTATCGACATCAACAGGATTACGATTTCAGTTTCAATATGATGCTGGATGACCTTATCACGATAACCCATGACTATAAACCATTATAAACACAGAATCAACAAAAACATCTGTGACACGCACCTGGCGCATGGCTACATTTCTCAAATAAATCTGATTGAGGGTGGAGAAATCTGAAAGGCAAGACAATTTTATGACAGAGTCATGAAATTCTGCAACAGCAACATGCACAGAATGACCTCCGTATAAAAAAAGTATCACCACCACTGCTCACATGTTTCCCCGCAGAAGAACATGCATTATGCTAGTGCCATTTTCTGCAAGAAAAGGCTTGCACATCAATGCGTATTGGAAAGGCTTCCTGTCTGAAGCCTTTCCATACTGGTACTCGATGTTCCAGTTTTGTGACACGAGAATGGCACGAGAATTAGTGTACCGCTGAGTGTACCGCTATACACGTGGTCGACACGTAGTCGACACGTTGTTGATACTTTTTGACACGTGACCCCGTCAACGGTCTGCTTTGTGCCAATGCCACTCGGTAAACGCCGATGTCGCGTACGACAAAGACCACTATCCCGTACGCGAAATAGTTGAGAATTGCATGACGTGGACCTGACGGCAAGGACAACTGCGAGGAGGCCCCTTTCGGTACCCCTGACGGGAAGGAGAACTGCAGAAGTCGACGAAGTCGAACGAGGAGGCCCCTTTTCCGTACCCCATACTGCAAAGTGCCATTGATGGATACCTTTTGCACCTGGAACGACCCCTTAAACGCTGTCGCGGCGACTATCCCGTACGCGAAATAGTTGAGAACTGCTGACGTGGACCTTTTGCACCTGGAACGGCCCCGTAAACGCTGTCGTGTCGGCGGAGTGAATGTGCAGGGTACTACACGTGTGGGGTGAAAAGAATTGCTGCAAAGACGTCCCCTCTACTATACTAGGCTCTAGGCCTTTGCCTTTGGAGACATCGTCGGCGAACTGAATGCGCAGGGCGAAAAGAATTGCTGCAAAGACGTCCGCTCTAGGCCTTTGGAGACATCGTGGGAACTCCTTCCGGTACTATACAAACTGCTGACGTGGCCGTGGACATGTACATGAAGAGTCATGGTGGGACTTCATGTACATGGATACATGATGCGAATTCCTTCCGGCACCCTCGTACCGCAAAGCCAACGGTGGGGAAGGAGAAGTGCAGACGTGCAGGAAGACGAACGAGGAGGAACCAGCACGAGCGAGCAATGGCAGGACTAGCTGGACCGTAAGTAATAGCTGAATTGTGCATGACAACTTGACATCCATGCGGCACTCGCCACTTGCCACTGCATATTTCTTGTCCACTAACAATGTCTCTCCTCTGCCCCCTGTGTGTCCACGGCCCCGTTTCTGAATTGGCCCGATGAATCGAATGTCTTCCGCAACTGGAACGGCCCCGTGAACGCTGTCGCGTCGGCGACTGAATGCGCAGGAGGGAAAATATTGCTGCGAAGACGTCTCCTCTAGACGACGGTAAGGCACCCCATTGATATGTTGCCAGTGTGTGCCAGGGTATCGCGCGATGGTGAATGAGGAATGATGAAGGGTACGGTGGGACTGTAGACCTGTTACCTTCTACTACTGTAACACGTTATCAGGTGGAGAGTGTCTTGTACTCACGTTATCAGGTCGAGAGCGTATTGTAGTCACTCTCTCTCTATTCCTGTACTTCATTACGTTTAAGGTGTACGTATAACTTCTCAAAAAAAATTAATGGTCTACAGTCGTGTCGGAAGGGTACGGTGGGACTGTAGACATGTTACCTTCTAACACGTTATCAGGTGGAGAGTGTCTTGTACTCACGTTATCACTATTATCAGGTCGAGAGCGTATTGTAGTCACTCTCTCTATTCCTGTACTTCATTACGTTTCAGGTGTACGTATAACTTTTCCAAGAAATTTAATGGTTCACGTCTTCAGATAGAGAGCGTATTGCACCCACTGTCTAGTCTCTGTAGTGCATTGAGATTTTGTTGATCGAACATGAAATGGATACACAGACAAAGCCAGGCCAAGTACATGGCGAGATGTCGCCAGAAGAACGTCTTCAGGTAGAGAGCGTATTGCACCCACTGTCTAGTCGATTTTGTGGATCGCACATGAAATGGATACACAGACAAAGCAGGCCAAGTACATGAGAGAGTGGACGATGTGCAGATCGACACGGCCTGCGGGTACTTCATTAAAGTTACCCGTGACATAACTAGGATAAATGTTAATCACTGCAAAAACATTGCCAAGTATGTGAGCACTTTGGACTTGACAGAAGAGTGCATGGGCGACGTTGACAAAACATACAGTGGTGACTGTCACTATCATGACAGCAGGGGCACATCGCACGCAGCATCGCAGATCGTGTCGAATTGCGCATCATAATATTGCAAAATTGCTCCTGTGCATGCAAGTGGATTTCATTGCACTTCTCAGTTTGGGAAATGCTCGATTATGACAATTCTCCGTGTGAGTGCACTAGCCCTGAACAGACATGTAGGTGAACCGTTTGTGGTGTCTCATAGCCTACCTCACGACCTTCTGCTTTCTTGCTTCATCACTTGTATCTTGCAGGTATATCATCCCGTGACGACCACATTGAAGTCTGAATTTGAAGTGTGAAGATGCTTCAGCAACCACATCGTACTTTTCCATTGCTTTCATTGTGCTTCTACTGTGCATGTGTGTAACTTGTGGGGTAAACATGTGATGACATTGTATGCTGGCGACACGGTCAGATGTTCATGCGTCTAACGTACACCTGCATGTTATGCATTGAAAAGGGTTTGCCACTTGCGATCCTGGGACGAGTATCAGGTCCGCTTTGTCCTATGTGGGCTGTATCAGATTGCTGTTCACTTCTCTATCTGTTGGATATGTGACTTTCTGCAAGTTTCTGGTGTATGGTGGCCACGTCCTTGCTTGTCACTTTGTATGATATTACATTCTGTATTCGCTGCTTCCATGGCATGGTCTGCAAACTGCAATCCTTGGGCAAATGTCATGTTTGCTATGTTGTGCTTTGGCCGCCAGCTTGTCTACACGCTGTAGTTGAATTATTTTTGTTTCACAACTGACTTCCTCAAGTACGGTGGCCACTGCTTTGCATGGCATTATACATGAAGAATTTCCTGTTTGTGTCGTGTGCATGTGCGTATGTGTGCGTGGCCACGTATGTGTGCCGTGTGCATACACATGTTTGTGTATCTGTGTGCGGGGTAGCGAGGCGGGGAGGGCTGGTATGTATCAGTGTGTTATTGCAGTTGCATGGCTACATACAGTACATCGCGCGCGTGGTCATCATGTTTACCTTCGGGGTTGGGGTGGGGAGGGAACGGAAAAAGAGCTGAAATTATCCATATAAAAATCGCTCTGTGAGCGGTTCTGAAAAACCTTTACTGGTACTGCCCCGTCGTAAAAGTAAGAAATTAGAACTGGCCCATTGTCCCCCCAAATGCGAACTGATCCACCTAAATCGCGAATGACGGGACCCGAACGCACCAGTAGCACGAGGTTTCTACCCGTGGATGCAGATGGGGACGTTGGTCTGGACCATAGCGGCATAGGCCATGTACTGTACTAGCGGTAGGCTTCCCTATCAAAATAATAAATTCTACTACTACTAGTGTTACCCTATGATCCTGTGCCCTCCCGACCTCGTGCTACTGGTGCGTTCGGGTCCCGTCATTCGCGATTTAGGTGGATCAGTTCGCATTTGGGGGGACAATGGGCCAGTTCTAATTTCTTACTTTTACGACGGGGCAGTACCAGTAAAGGTTTTTCAGAACCGCTCACAGAGCGATTTTTATATGGATAATATATATTATGGTATTGATATGATGTGAAGGCCATCATTTACATATTGATATACGTGTAGGGCATTCCATTGATTGGTGACAGAAAAAACAAAAGAAATTATAGCAATAAAAACTGCTTTATGGCAGTTTTCTAAAAAAAGTTATTGTGTTCTAGTCCATGGACCCCGTCTAAAAAGTAAGAAATTAACGAAATGTGATAGCTGAAAATTAAAATTTCACACAAAACCTCACAATAATCACACACAGAATGAAAAGCTACATGCAGAAGACCTTTTCCCCTCGTGATCCTCTTTCCTATGCATGCATGTTGCCAATTGTTGGTGCAGTACAAGTTTAGTGTTGAAAGCAGCATTTCAAGTGTTGTGATTATTGTGAGGTTTTGTGTGAAATTTTAATTTTCAGCTATCACATTTCGTTAATTTCTTACTTTTTAGACGGGGTCCATGGACTAGAACACAATAACTTTTTTTAGAAAACTGCCATAAAGCAGTTTTTATTGCTATAATCTGCACTGTATCTGCACCGTATCTGCACTGTATATGTATGTACTGTATCTGCACTGTATCTGCACCGTATCTGTATGTACTGTATCTGCACTGTATATGTATGTACTGTATCTGCACTGTATATGTATCTGCACTGTATATGTATGTGCACCGTATCTGCACCGTATGTGCATGTATGTGCATGTATGTGCTGTATCTGTGCAACTCTGGAATGGTCTCAAGGATGTCATCGCCAGAACCTGTCACAATGCACGTTCGAGCACGACCGTTGAAAGTCCTATTTGTGATGTATTTGTGTGTGTATGTGTGTGTGTGTGTGTGTGTGTGTGTGTGCGTGCGTGTGTGCGCACACGTGTGGACAGGTGGGTGGGCGTGTGCATGTGAATGTGCGTGTGTATATGATATAATTATACGTACGCGCACATGAACAGACATGTCACGTGCGTGTATGTTTGTGTATACATACCGTCGATTTCACCCACCATGGTTTGATCATAATATATTGTCAGAAAAGAACTTTCCCCCGGGCATTTTTTCTTCTTCTCCAGGTTACCCTACTTGCCGAGAGACCATACAGAAGATAACGGAAGAGACAACTGAGTGACGACAACAGACTAAGAAAGGAGGGCAGACAAGGGACAAGTGAGGGCGTGCAGCAAGACTGTGCTGTTGCGGCAGGACCAGCAGCGCCAGCCTATGGTCTCCTCCTCGACTCGCCTAGTAGCAACGCACCGTTTTGTTACTGGCACGTTTAGGTGACGATCAGAACTTGCCCTGGGACGGTTCTAGCTATACGGAAATATCATGGACACGCACAGATTAAGTGACGACCCCTCCGCAGATGGCAGCAGCCACGTTCACAATCGGCACCCGCAATCACCGAGTGTCTCGGCTCCCCCTGCGCTAGCACCGTCGACACGCATACTGGACTGGGTGATGGCAGCAGAGCAGGCGGAAGTCGATGGCCGGGGAGGTTCCTACAGAAACCAACGGACTAGTTCAACGGAAAAGGGTAAGCGATCGACTGCACCCGCTACTGTGCAGCTACTGTGGAATTTGTGGTAAGAATGGGTCACGGCCGGGGCGTGTGCGTGGGGGGGGGGGAGTGGAGGGTGATGGGGCAAGGGAATGGGGGGGGAGGGGGAGGGGAGGGTGGGGGTGGTTGTGGGGGGGGAGTGGAGGGTGATGGGGCAAGGGAATGGGGGGGGGGAGGGGGAGGGGAGGGTGGGGGTGGTTGGGGGGGGGGGAGTAAGGTGGGGGTGGGGGAGTGGAGGGTGATGGGGCAAGGGAATGGGGGAGGGGAGGGAGATGGTGGAGGGGGGGGTGATAGTGGAGGGGGGGGCAAGGGAATGGGGGGGGGGGGTGATGGTGGAGGGGGGGGCAAGGGAATGGAGGAAGCGGATGTGAGGTTATGATCCCTGTTAGGCTAATTGGCAGGGCACTGTCCCGGCAAGACAGAGGTGCTGGTTTCCTACCCCGCTCGTAGATTCTTCTTTTGTAGCGTATTGTATGATGTCAAATCCATCTCCAATCAAAGCCTGTTCTTGAGATGACAAAGAACATCCTAGTTATGTACACCCCAGCAACTAGACATTACTTGTCTTGAACGACGGTATGTCGTGCAAATGGCTGCAGTACACAATATGTTTAGCTATGCTAATATGGCCCTAGAGGAACCGGGTTCAATTTCAATGATAAGACCTTGGAGAAACAGGGTGGGGTGGTGGTGGTGGTGGTGGTGGTGGTGTGGGGGGGAGGGGGGGGGGGATGTTTTGCACCTATACAGCACAGGGGCGTAGCTGGTCCCCTCCCCCTCCTTTAGTGGGGTGCACTGCACGGCTGCATTCAATGTATGTGTAGGATGGCTGGTGCATGTCATTCATGGTCATTATGTGCATGCTGAACCAAGGTCGAAATTTTTGGGGGAGGTGCACGTGCCCCCTCCCCCCCCCCTCCCCCCCCCCCCCCCCCCCGTGCCCCATGTGAGCCAAGCGACTGTAGCATTATAAGGTAGACAGTAAACCTGCGTTTGCTGGACTCTGCACCAAAGCCGAATCCTGTGCTGATCAGATAAATTTCATCCGCCAACCTGCTGTGGATCGAATGTGCCTCCCTGGATCAAGCGGAATCCTGTCATATCAGGACAGTTTCCGCTGCTCCCAGGACGTCCGGTTAAGCCAGGTTTTACTGTACACGCTAGAGTGTGGACTGTAACAGACTCAATATACCGTATTTTCCGGAGTATAGAGCGCACCTTTGTATAACGCGCACCCCCAAATCTTCATTGGGGGTGCGCACTTCAATCTTCATTGAAGTACATGCATTTCATATTCGGAGCATAGTGCGCACCTGCGATTTAGGGCCTAAAATCGCACATCTAAAGTGCGCACTATACTCCGGAAAATACGGTAGCACCAAGAGTACATAACTAGGGTTGCAACGGGTAGGGGTTTGGTCGCGTAACGAATTCGGGTATTTCTGTCCTGGCAGCACGGGTACCCTATCGGGTATTTCTATCCGGGCAGCAAGGGTACCCTATCGGGTATTTCTATCCAGGTAGCAAGGGTACCCTATCGGGTATTTCTATCCGGGCAGCAAGGGTACCCTATCTGGTATTTCTATCCGGGTAGCAAGGGTACCCTATCGGGTATTTCTATCCGGGTAGCAAGGGTACCCTATCGGGTATTTCTATCCGGGTAGCAAGGGTACCCTATCGGGTATTTCTATCCGGGCAGCAAGGGTACCCTATCAGGTATTTCTATCCGGGTAGCAAGGGTACCCTATCGGGTATTTTTGGACATAGGTTGTACAGTGAGTGGACACTTGTGCTGCATAGAAAGTGTACAGTAAGCATGTAGCCGTGTTTTTTACATGCAGCGATGCGAAAACACCGTACTCCAACTACCCGATCAGGTTCTCAGGAGCAAACTCCTACTCGAATACACGGGTACCCTACTACCCGTTGACACCCCTGTACATAACTCCCAAGAGTGTGCAACTGCCTGCACAACCTCTATACCGTGCTGCGGCGGCAGAACTTCACATCACGTGACATGGTTCAAAAGGTTACGCTGGCAAACAGTGCAAAGTGACCTCAAGAGATTTGTACCCAAAGCAGGGTTGCGTACAACCCTGTATCTATCATGCGCAGGGTACAAGTGATGTGTGCGGGTTCATCACGTGATGTGAAGTTCTGCCGTCGCAGACCCCATAGCTGGAGTTGCACACTCTTGGGGGTTCTGTACTCTTGATAGCACCCATCTACAGACAACTCGATGTGAACACACACATATATGCACACGCACGCACACACACGCACGCAGGCATGCACGCTTGCCCGCACACACACACACACACACACACACACACACACACACACACACACACACACACACATACAGACACACACATACAGACACATACATACACACACACACACACACACTGAGCCCGGGGTAAGCGAGCTTGATGGGGTTTTTTTCACTTACCACCTCCACACATAACATGCCATACTTCTACACATTGCTTGCTTTGGTTTGTCCCTGCCACGCACATTGTTCAGATCCCTTACCAATGGATGAGTACCCACCAGCACCGGAGGGACTAGCTACTGAGGAGAACAATAGACTGGGTGAGTGAATGACTCAGAATCTGAGAGTAGATCTAGGATTGTACAATGCAAACCCAGACTGACGAGCAAACTACAACAAATTATAGACGGTACGAGGCACCGACCTGCCCTGCCTTTTAACTAGTGCTTTGCCTGTGTTTTGCGGTGACAATGCACGATAAGGTAGAAGCCTGGCCTTCAGCAGAATGTGTGTAGCATTCGTACATGAAGACTGGGTGACAATGCATGATGAAGTGGAAGTCTGGCTTTTGCAGGATTCCTGTAGCATTGCTGTATTTTCGGGAGTATATAAACCGCACTTTGAACACTCTCAATTCACCCAAAAAAGCCGGAGCGGCTTATACTAAAATGGTGAAAATGATGGTGATAAATCAGGTAGATGTCTGTATTTCGTGACAAAAAGTCCAGATGCAGCTTATACTCCAGTGCAGCTTGTACTCCGGTGCAGCTTGTACTCAGGAAACAAACAGTACATAGAGATTGGGTGACTATGCACAATGAAGCAGAAGCCTGGCCTTTGCAGAATGTGTGAAAGCATTGTACAGTGAAGACTGCTGACGATGCTGCATGATAAGAAGAGTACATGAAAACCAGAGTGTGCAGCTTGGGGGGCTTTTTCTACTATGGGTGTCACGGCGGAATTCCATGATTACATCATATTTGGCGGAGATCTGAGGCGGGAAATGGCGTAGTGCGTACCATTGAGCTGCAGTTGTGCAGAAAGAGACCTGCTTGAATCCTGCTTGTACGCACTACATCACTAAAATGACGTAATCACGGAATCGTCGTAACTAATAGACATTTAGTTGTCTGGTGATTGCCTATGGGCATGAAACTATAAGTTACAACGAACGATGCGTGGTGCTCTGTGCCGTGTGTTGTTCTGTCCATGCATTTGTTTCACCTGTGAAGATGAGGATTTCACGATTACGGAAGCCCTGGATATTATAGGGATAGGTCCCTTTCATTATCGACTGCTGGTCGTCGTAGGATTAATATCGGTAAGGACAGCTTTTCTGTGTGTGCCTCTCCTCACTTGTGTGTGTGTGTGTCCGTGTGTTTGTTTGTGTGTGTGTGTGTGTGTGTGTGTGTGTGTATGTATGTATGTATGTATGGATGTGTGTGTGTGTCTGTCTGTCTGTGTGTATGTCTGTGTCTGTCTGTCTGTGTGTCTGTCTGTGTGTCTGTCTGTATGTCTGTCTGTATGTCTGTCTGTATGTCTGTCTGTCTGCCTGTCTGTCTGTCTGTCTGTCTGTCTGTCTGTCTGTCCGTCTTTGTGTATGTGTATGTGTCCGTGTGTGTACACATACGCATGTGTGTATGTGTGTGTGTGTGTGCATGTGTGTTTGTCGCTCTTTGTGTCCATCTTGCCTCCTTCTTGTTCGCTTATGTCAGCCTGTATGTTCATGTCATGGCTCTTGGCCTGTGACGGCATGGATAATTTGCTTTTGAAACATACACGCACAACAAAAGTCTGACCAGGCTCTGTGTCGCAGTCTGACATGGATTTCAGAGCCAGCCTGGCATAGAACACAAGTAAGGTGCGATAGTCAGTTTGTGCCCGAAAGTCGGTATCCTGCCCAAAAGTTAGTACGGGTGTTACCACTAAATTCGAAAGTGTAAGAACGTTTACAGGCGTAACGATAGTAAGACTCCTCAGTCAGTATTGTGCTAGCTCTTGCACCTTCTGACTACACAACATCTTACTTCTAACTGTTAGTGTTGGACACACACAACGTATAACATGAAATATTTTGGTCCTTTCTTTTACGATAGTGTCCTCAGCAGACTGTCCTGTATTCCAGATAGGCTCGGTTCCTGCTGTTCATCTCCTTGTTGTTTTGCAGATAGCGGGTGGTCTGGGCTCAACAGGATTTGCACTGTTCCCACCATTGGCAAGATGTCACCTTAATCTGAGTTCTGTTGCCGAGGCTATTCTGACCAGTGTAAGGCGATGATATTGATATGTGTGTGTGTGTGTGTGTGTGTGTGTGTGTGTGTGTGTGTGTGTGTGTGTGTGTGTGTGTGTGTGTGTGTGTGCGTGTGTGCATGCGTGCGTGCACGCGCATGCGTTTCTGTTTGTGTGCACATGCATGTGTGCATAGCATTGATTTAAAGCAGTGTCAGTATGCATGCAGCACGGTAGAAACCTCCATGCCAAATAGTGTATCTCGTGAAAAATGGCCGCTTCCAAGGCCCGTTTTCCATTCCCAATGTTACCAGTCGGCTTTCTATGGCATGGTGGTGGCCTGGCACAATCTTAAATTCCGAAGTTTGTTATGTTTCTCAACACAATTGGATGCCAGTGATGATTTGTGGACGTGAAGCCTGCTTGCTGCTTCTCGTCTGGTTGATAAGCGTGATCCGGAGGTCAATAGGCACATCAAATCCGCAGCTCGCTTATCCTGAGTAACAGCATTACAGCCTGCTTGATGCACAATGTCATTGGGAATTCCCCTCCCCCTCTCCTGTTCATTGTGACCTTAAAAGCTTGTATACTTGGTAGTGGGTTGATGCATGGCTGAGAATACTAGTATGCTGATGTGGGTGGTTTGGTGTCATGGCTGGAAATATGCTGATGTGGGTGGTTTGGTGTTGTGCTAATCTGCAGTCTGGATTTCTAGGGGCAGCGTGTGGAGGTGTCGGTATGGGATATCTGGCAACCAGATTTGGACGCAGAACAGTAAGCTGTTAGGTCCATTTAGAACTGTGTCTGTATGTTGCTGTTGCTGCTGTGTGCTGCTTCAGTTACTGCTGTCGCTGTTGTCACTAGTTGCTGGTGCAGTCATTGCTGCTGCTGTTACTCCTGCTGCTGCTGCTGCTGCTGCTGCTGCTGCTGCTGCTGCTGCTGCTGCTGCTGTTACTCCTGCTGCTGTTACTCCTGCTGTTGTTGCTGCTGTAGCTGATGTCGCTGTAGCTGCTGTTGCTGCTGTTACTGCTGCTACTTCAGTTGCTGTTGACGCTGCTTCTGCTATTGGCGGTGGTGTGTGATGCTGGTGCTGCTATTGGTGGTGTGTGATGCTGGTGCTGCTACGAGTATTTCTGGCACTGGTGGTAGTGGTGGTAGTGGTGGTTCTTGCTGTTGTGTTTCTGCTGCTGGCGGCAGTGGCACCAGCAACACCAGCAGCAGCAGCAGAGGTGATAGTGCTGGCGCTGCTGCTGCTGTGGCCACTATTGTCGTAGTAAATCAATGTTGATACGCATCAGTTATCATAATCAGTGTTTGCGGGAGGGGGAGTGGGAAGGGGGAGTGGGAAGGGGGAGTGGGAAGGGGAAGTGGGAAGGAGGATTGGGGTGATTATCTAAGGTTTTCACTTACTGAGTGGACTTCTCGTGTGCTCTGGATGGCAGTCGTGAGTCAGTCAAGTGTCAAGTCAAGTCGGGCGAAAAGCGCGAGCTCCAGTGTGGGGAGCAAACCCTTCCTTGTTTTCCCTTACCACTGTAATTGTGCCTCGGTGTTTAGTTCCTGTATTCCTCATCTATATGTATGCGCATAGGTACTGTTGCTGTACCATCAGAGGTTGAACCTTTGACTCCTGCCAACATTTCACGAAAGCAAGATCTTTTTTTGCTGCACACGTCCCATTTCATATGAGCAAACTTTTGTTTTTCATCCCTGCAGGAACTGTTGATATTGATCGTGTGGACAAGTTACTTTGGATTCTTGAGTGCTGTCTCGCCAGACTACTACTGGCTACTGTTCATGAGGTTCTTGGTGGGGTTTGGACACGGAGGAACTGGACAGAGGTTAGCGATACTGCTCAGCTTGTTTGTTCTTGTTCTTGTCATGAGATCTTGAATTGGACAACTGGTCAACTTGTGTTTGTGTGTGTGTGCTCCTGTGTGCAAAAAATGAAAAAGACCAAAACGTAGGGATTCACTGGCCAGAAAAAGCCACTTCATTGCTGTGTGTTGTAGACCAGGCTGAATAGTGGCGGTCAATTCTTCAGCCTTGCAGGTTGCTATGGCTTCTGCTGTAGCATTGCTATCATCGCCTCTGGCGATGGGCGTCAAATGGTCAAATGATGTGCCCAGGTGCCTGTGTGTATGTGTATGTGTGTGTGTGTGTGTGTGTGTGTGTGTGTGTGTGTGTGTGTGTGTGTGTGTGTGTGTGTGTGTGTGTGTATGTGTGTGTATGGATGTACCCGGGTGCCTGTGTGCCTGTGTGTATATGTGTTGCTATGTTCCTGTAGGCTGTCTATACTGTTTGAGTACATGCCGGCACAGTACAGGACGTTAGGAGCGGGAGTGTTGACCGTGAGTTGCATGAACACCGGTCTGCACACTGGTCCGTACCAGGGAGTCTTAGCATACAGGGAGACATCACGGTCGACTGTGTAACGCTGAATCACGTGGGTTTCCACCCTGGGCTGCCCGATACAGTCCCCCCCCCCCCCCCCCCCCCAGGCTGGAGCAGGGCGGATTTATACACACACTCACATACACCATTGCTTGTCTGGCCCACACTTTGGGTCATCAGGTCAAGGCCGACCGGCATGGCGATCACCAGCTGCACAGACCATGTAGTAGTTCCAAATCCCGGGTGGAAACGCGTATCGTTTTGCGCACTGTGATCTGGTGTTGTCTCCCTGAGATGCTATGGGTCCCTGATCAGCAGCATATACGCATACCTCAACCTGACATGCACCCCTGCGGCAGGGCACATCAAACCCTGACATGCACCCTGGGGAACTGTGCATGATACCGTGACATGCACCCTGGGGCACTACACATCATACCCTACTATGCACCCCTGGGGCAGGGCACATCATGCGTGACATGCACCCTGGGGCACTACACATCATACCCTACTATGCACCCCTGGGACAGGGCACATCATGCGTGACATGCACCCTGGGGCACTACACATCATACCCTACTAGTACTATGCACCCCTGGGACAGGGCACATCATAGCGTGACATGCACCCCTGGGGCACTACACATCATACCCTACTATGCACCCCTGGGGCAGGGCATATCACACCCTGACATCATCAGGTTCCCTGGGGCTTTATGCATCATACGTTGGCATGCACCCTTGGCAGGGCACATCATACCCTAACATGAACGTGTACAACTCATTCCAGCAGAACAATCCAGCATGCTCTGAAACTTTGATTTTGACTAGATTTATTCTAGCAAAACCTGGGCAAATTTCAAACTCTTCCCTTTCAAACTCCTTGTCCTTTGACTTCTCCACACTCAATCATGACATGGGAGAATTGCATGTGCAATAATGTGGGATGTATACCCGTGGTTTCATCGCTGCAGAAAATTACCACAACGTGTTAAAGACTACTATGTTCAGGTGCCAGTTAAAAGTATGTGTTAACTAGTGAAAAGCCGGGAGGTACCACTGCATCAATGCTGTTGGCTGTGTCCAGAGGGACACCACTGCATCAATGCTGTTGGCTGTGTCCAGAGGTACCACTGCATCAATGCTGTTGGCTGTGTCCAGAGGTACCACTGCATCAATGCTGTTGGCTGTGTCCAGAGGGACACCACTGCATCAATGCTGTTGGCTGTGCCCAGAGGTACCACTGCATCAATGCTGTTGGCTGTGCCCAGAGGTACCACTGCATCAATGCTGTTGGCTGTGCCCAGAGGTACCACTGCATCAATGCTGTTGGCTGTGCCCAGAGGGACACCACTGCATCAATGCTGTTGGCTGTGTCCAGAGGGACACCACTGCATCAATGCTGTTGGCTGTGTCCAGAGGGACACCACTGCATCAATGCTGTTGGCTGTGCCCAGAGGGACACCACTGCATCAATGCTGTTGGCTGTGTCCAGAGGGACACCACTGCATCAATGCTGTTGGCTGTGCCCAGAGGTACCACTGCATCAATGCTGTTGGCTGTGCCCAGAGGGACACCACTGCATCAATGCTGTTGGCTGTGTCCAGAGGGACACCACTGCATCAATGCTGTTGGCTGTGTCCAGAGGGACACCACTGCATCAATGCTGTTGGCTGTGCCCAGAGGGACACCACTGCATCAATGCTGTTGGCTGTGTCCAGAGGGACACCACTGCATCAATGCTGTTGGCTGTGCCCAGAGGTACCACTGCATCAATGCTGTTGGCTGTGTCCAGAGGTACCACTGCATCAATGCTGTTGGCTGTGTCCAGAGGTACCACTGCATCAATGCTGTTGCCTGTGTCCAGAGGTACCACTGCATCAATGCTGTTGACTGTGCCCAGAGGGACACCACTGCATCAATGCTGTTGACTGTGTCCAGAGGGACACCACTGCATCAATGCTGTTGGCTGTGCCCAGAGGTACACCACTGCATCAATGCTGTTGGCTGTGTCCAGAGGGACACCACTGCATCAATGCTGTTGGCTGTGTCCAGAGGGACACCACTGCATCAATGCTGTTGGCTGTGTCCAGAGGGACACCACTGCATCAATGCTGTTGGCTGTGTCCAGAGGGACACCACTGCATCAATACTGTTGGCTGTGTCCAGAGGGACACCACTGCATGTGAATGGCGCTATATGTGTCCAGTTGGACACCATTCCATTAACGGTGCTAGCCGTGTTACGCCTGGATGCCATTGCATTGATGCTGCTGTGTCGAAAAGGACACCATTGCATTAATGCTGCTGTGGCGAAAAGGACACCATTGCATTATTACTGCTGTGTCGAAAAGGACGCCATTCATTGATGCTGCTGTATCGAAAAGGACGCCATTGCATTCATGCTGCTGTGTTGAAAAGGACACCATTGCATTGACGGTGCTAACTGTGTTTGTCGTCAGTAAGGTGACACCACTGACAATGTCACAGGCTGAGTGACAAGGTCATCAACAGCAAAACCCAATGTGCTATGCTTCAGCGCCTAGCAACGTAATGGGTCCCACCACCACACTCCATTATTCACCCCAGTGTCTGGAGATGATGTGGATTCTGTAGGGAAAAAAACAGCCTCCATTGTATCCTGTGCTGTGACCTCGCGCATACAATATTCTACTCTTACACACTGTGACTTACTGTCGGCTCATAGTGCAGACTTTCACTCTGTCCACTCATAGTGCAGACTTTCACTCTGTCCACTCACTCAGTCTCGCAGCTCAGTATTCTCTGTTATATATGATCACCAGCCCCAATCTCTATCCATTTGCTGTTCCTCTATCCTTAATGATGAGATCTGTGTTCGTGTATACTTGATCAGAGCACACTTGCATGACTGACTGACTGACTGACTGTTGAGTCAGTATCTATACTAAAGTTAGGTTGGGGTTGCCTCGTTGCAGTTGTTGGCACGAGGCTGGCCAAATAATGCAGCCATGGGCAGAGTCTAATCCAACACCAGCTGCCCCAGAAAGTGACACTTTGTCCTTTAAATGAATAAGCGACGCGGAGACAATGGCCGTATGAATGCGATGGGACTTTGGAAACCTTTCATGTAGATTCACCAGATTCTTGTTTGCTTTTTCATAATGTCTGTCTCACTCACTCATATACATCGCGTTACCTTTGTCTTGTGTTTTGTCCTGTGGTTTGTCCTGTGTTTTGTCCTGTGTTTTGTCCTGTGTTTTGTCCTGTGTTTTGTCCTATGTTATGTCCTGTGTTTTGTCCTATGTTATGTCCTGTGTTTTGTCCTGTGTTTTGTCCTGTGTTTTGTCCTGTGTTTTGTCCTGTGTTTTGTCCTGTGTTTTGTCCTGTGTTATGTCCTGTGTTATGTCCTGTGATTTGTCCTGTGTTTTGTCCTGTGTTTTGTCCTGTGTTATGTCCTGTGTTTTGTCCTGTGTTTTGTCCTGTGTTTTGTCCTGTGTTTTGTCCTGTGTTTTGTCCTGTGTTTTGTCCTGTGTTTTGTCCTGTGTTTTGTCCTGTGTTTTGTCCTGTGTTTTGTCCTGTGTTTTGTCCTGTGTTTTGTCCTGTGTTTTGTCCTGTGTTTTGTCCTGTGTTTTGTCCTGTGTTTTGTCCTGTGTTTTGTCCTGTGTTATGTCCTGTGTTTTGTCCTGTGTTTTGTCCTGTGTTTTGTCCTGTGTTTTGTCCTGTGTTATGTCCTGTGTTTTGTCCTGTGTTTTGTCCTGTGTTTTGTCCTGTGTTTTGTCCTGTGTTTTGTCCTGTGTTTTGTCCTGTGTTTTGTCCTGTGTTTTGTCCTGTGTTATGTCCTGTGTTTTGTCCTGTGTTTTGTCCTGTGTTATGTCCTGTCCTGTGTTATGTCCTGTGTGAATACGCTGTGTGCATGCCGTTGTCACTATCACTATGCAATTGTCACCATCGCTAATCCATCGTGACTGTCGGTATGCCATTGTCACCGTCGCTATGTCGTTATAACCGTTTGTATGCCGTTGTCGTCGCTACCATGGCGTTGTCACCATCACCGCTGAAGTTCTGCTGGAACTGTGGTAACTTCCTGGAGGCCGTCTTCATCAAGGTGCTCATACCCACCGGCAGTGCCTGGAGGTACATACTGGTGTCCGACGCCGCCGTCTTCTTCATCTGCATCTTCTTCCAAAGCGTGAGCACTGCACATGTTCTATGTCTGCTTGTCTTGATGTCCCCAGGGGTGGGGTCGGGGGTGGTCTGCATGTCCCTGGGGTAGAGCTGGGTCGGTCTGGATGTCCCTGGGGTGGTCTGGATGTCCCTGGGGTAGGGCTGGATGTCCCTGGGGTAGGGCTGGGTCTGTCTGGATGTCCCCGGGGTGGGGTCGGGGGTGGTCTGGATATCCCTGGGGTAGGGCTGGGTCGGTCTGAATGTCCCTGGGGTGATCTGGATGTCCCTGGGGTAGGGCTGGATGTCCCTGGGTTAGGGCTGGGTCTGTCTGGATGTCCCCGGGGTGGGGTCGGGTGGTCTCCATATCCCTGGGGTGGGGTCAATGGTGGTCTGGATGGCTTTGGGGTAGGGTCGGGTGGTCTAGATGTCTTTGGGGTAGGGTCGTGGTGGTCTAGATTTCCCTGGAGTCGAGTCGGGGGTGGTCTGGGGTCTTGGGGTAGTCGGGGTGGTCTGAATGTCTCCGTGGTGGGGTCAAGGGTGGTCTGGATGTTTCTGCGTGGATGAGGGGGGGGGGGTGCTAATGTCCTTTTGGGCAGGGGGGGGGGGTGCTAATGTCCTTTTGGGCAGGGGGGGGGATGTCCTCTTTGAGCTTAGGGTAGGAGAAATAATAATATGATTCCCAGCATTTTCAAGGTACTCTCTTTGGAGGTATTCATCAGTTGGAGGAGTTGAAAAGGGAGCAAAGTCACCACCACCAGCACTCGAAACCAAGGACGTTTTCTATAGGCCTGTGATGCTCTAACCAGTAAGCCATGGTGTAATCGCCATCCCAGCAGAGCCTGTTTATTTCAATGCCGTAGCTGTGTGTTTATCGTCATTTTCGGCAAGGTCTAGCACACAGGACTGTTGGAGTACTGGAGCTAAAAATTCACCCGGTAGTGCGGCACAGTGCCCAAAAAAGTAGCCTCACTTCGGGCCACAGTACGAGACAAACTATGTTTGCTTCCGTCATGACCGCATGGTGATGAGCAAAACAATCTTTATGATGAAACCGGCGGTATGGAGGAATTCTTGCTTTTACAGTAAACCTGGTTTAAGCGACCAAATGCGGTCGTTAAAGCCAGGTGGTCTTTAGAACCAGGTCCCATAGTGTCTATGTAGAACTGTCAGTGCGTGGAAAACGGTCGTTAAGAGCAGGTGGTCGCTAAACCCAGAGGTCGCTTACACCAGGTTTTGCTGTATGTCCAAAAATTGGGAGTCGTGTTGCTGGCTTAGGTGATGAATGACATCGGCAGGAGAGTGCATTTGGGAGATTTGTACTAAATTATCCATTACAATGTTGCTCAATGAAATCCGATCGCATGAGTCAAGTTTGCACCCTCCACAAGTGCACTGCCCAGTGTTTGCAGGTCTAGGACTGCACAGTGCCCTGCACCAGTGCACAGCCCAGTGTTTGCAGGTCTGGGGGCTTCACGGCAATTAGCGCACACTTGATTGACGAGATTGTATTTCATTGAAGACCTCTACAGTTCACTCATCACCTATGCTAGCATTTTCTGATGGGAAAGATTCAAAAAAATTGCTTTTTCTCCTTGTGCTCGGTTAGGCTGGGCTTTGGACATCCGTAAGAACGTCACCACCCCCAAGGATCAAAGCCACTCAATATCCACCGAAACCCTTATTTAACTTGCATACTGAAAATGTCGTATTTGTCTTTCTTTGCTGTAACAGTGGCTCCCAGAGTCTCCGTTGTTTCTGTTTAACATTGTCGGTGACCGGAGGAAGGCCAGACAGAAGCTGGAGTATGCCGCAAAGCTGAACGGTAAAACGCTGCCGGCTGGCCGACTGATCTCCGCCGAAGAAAGACAGGAAATGATTCGGTGAGCCAAAACTATACACGCACATGTACTCGTGCGCACACGCGCGTGCACGCGCACATACTGACACACACTCTCTCTCACACACACACACACACACACACACACACACACACACACACACACCTCAGACCTCAGACATGCCCATCGCGGGAGCGATGATAGCGAACAGCTATGTTAGACATAGCAACTTGTGCTGGGATTACACCATTCAACAGCTTGCAAGGCTGATGAATTGACCGCCACTATTTTTAGCCTGGTATCCACCACACAGCTGTTTGAAGTGACTTTTTCTGGCCAGTGAATCCCTATTTTTCATTTTTCCATTTTTTTTCTACACACACACCACACCACATACTCCGGCATACACTGGCTGTTGGTAACCACCCAAGAGAATGAAAGAAAAGTCAGGAAGAGTCTGAGAAAGAGAAGAAAGACGTGTGTGACCATAATCGTCGGGAACCGAACCCGCAACCTATCGATTGGAAATCGCTGCACATACCACTGCACCATACGGGACACACACACACACACACACACACATACACACACACACACACACACACACACACACACACACACACACACACACATACACACACACACACACCTGTCCTGTCCTGTCCTGTAGAGTCACTGCCGCAAAAGGGTCACGTGATCCCATCACTGGGAAACTTGAGAAGAGAGAGAGAGAGGACACGACGCTCGATGACGCTCCAGGTGCACGGGTAGTCGCATCCGCTTGCCGCATATGCACACGTGCTGGAAGGCTGAGCGCTCCTCTGCTGTTGGTCTATGAGCCACCCTTGAACAGCGATGCCTTCCCCGTCCCCGGACACCGCGAAAGCAGCGACCACACCTGTCACAATGCGCGGCACAACATCCCTCCGCCGGTGCCGACGCTCCGGTAGTTCCAGGTGGCACTGCGGCATCCACCGTTGAGGCACACACATGCCGGACCAAGCCACCGCGGCTTCTCAGCCACCGCCCACACCGCCCGCACTGACTGGCGCCCCGCTGCTCAGACACAGGCCGCGCACGCTCCTCCAGACACTTATGCCGAGCCATGTCTCCTTTCCGTGCAAAATCCCGTCCGCCACACACACACACACACACACACACACCTCTCACTCTCTTGTGTGTGTGTGTGTGTGTGTGTGTGTGTGTGTGTATGTGTGTGTGTGAGTGCGTACATGCGCATGCGCATTTCCACCTTTGTGTTATTCATCGTCTCCAGGGGTCCACCTCCGTACGAGTCTGACGATAGTCTAAGTGTGGAGAAACCCAAGACAGAGGAGAAGGTCAACGAGCAAACACCGTTATCACCACCTTCAGCTAGTGCCAGAGAGAGGGGCATAATGAGTCTATTTAGACCAGCAGCTCTTTTCCGTACAACCATCTTACTGGCATTCGCATGGTAAGGGGAGGGGGTGGTCCGTTTCTAATAATCTAATTTCTTAGAATTATTCATATAAATGATCGCAGATATGATGATTCGTCACTTTTAAAGGGGAAGTCTTGGTCAAAATATGTTCTTACCAGGACACATTGATACCAACTTAGATTCAGAAAAACGTAGCTTGCACATTCAACAATGTGGCTTAGTTTCATGCTATAGGTCCATCGTTACCGATGACTACATCGTGCATACATTAGATGCCTGGTACACAAAGCGTTAAATTCACAATGACACTAATGTTTTCACGAGCCTGAGAGAAATTCTGGTTCTTTGCCTTCAGTTCAGGGACTTATAAGAAAGAATTATGCAAATGACCTCATTGATACGTCTGCGTGTCTTTGTGTATGTCGGCTGCTGCTAGTGGAGTTCAGTGTCGTATAGTCTCTCTTTTCTTTCCGTCACACTGGCGCCATGAAAAAAAGTTAAAACTGAGTTGTAATGATAGCTTGCATGCCTTCCTGCCGGTAGGACCCTAGAAATCGCGCTGCAAACGTCCTTTTGGTTGAGAAGTTTCTGGATAAAATTGTTGAGATGAGGTCTTTGTAAATCACACTAAATGGTATAAATACAAGACTATGTCCTGTGCATTGCATAATTATGTGCAATTTTTATCAATTATTGTAAAAGTGCACGCACATGCTTCCAGTCGGCTGCGTTTGCTTTGCCCTGTGCTGCCTTACAAGGTAATGGTAGCTGTGTTTGCTTTGCCCTGTGCTGCCTTACAAGGTAATGGTAGCTGTGTTTGCTTTGCCCTGTGCTGCCTTACAAGGTAATGGTAGCTGTGTTTGCTTTGCCCTGTGCTGCCTTACAAGGTAATGGTAGCTGTGTTTGCTTTGCCCTGTGCTGCCTTATAAGGTAATGGTAGCTATTTGGCTTAACGGTGTGCTGGGTTGCAGGCTGATGTTGTCCATAGCGGTGGTGGGCTGTGCAATTCTCACTGAGGAAGTCTTACAGGAGCGCCAGTCGCTGAAAGGAAAGTGTACCAGTAAGTTATTCAAGTCCCCTGGATATGTGTTTCATGCCGTGGAATGTCTCAGTACTCTTTGTCAGTTTTGTGCTAGATTGTGCACGTCTGACTGTTCAAGATCTGGTTAAGTTGGTGGACTCGATCGCACAATTTGTGCCCACAATTTCCCATGTTACAAATGTTTCCTTGGCTCCCCATCTGAGAACTTGAAGTTGCACTATTATGTGTGCGACTGCTAGACTGCAACCAACGTAACTTGGGTAATAGGGAGGTTCCGCTCTACGTAAGTACGTATGAAAATCCGTATGTCGTACGCGCCGGGGAGCGAGGGCAGCTTTCATACGTAAATCTCTCTACGGATTTCCGTAGGAAAGCTCTTTCCTACGTTGGGTCCTCCGTAGGACTTTTTGAAATATGTTCAGGGATGAATTTACTGTCATTTTTTTGCATAGCAGTTTTCGCGACGCAAACGCCAAAATGCGTAGCAGTCCTTGATTTTTGATTAGCACTTTTTCTTCCATGAAGACCGACTAAAATTTCTCAGTCCACGGAGGGAGTACTCGTGCTGTCTGCATAGCTGGCAGATAATTAGCGTCACCGCTGCACCTGTAGCTTTCTCAGAACCAAGCCATTTCTTCTGGACATCGACCTCTGCCACCCACTTCTCAAAGGTACTCTGTCGTACAGACATGTTGGAGGCAGAACCAGACTAGACAAAAACTACAGCTTGGACAATTGTCAGAGAGAAGGACGAACGTGATTCCAAAAGTTCCTCACGACCAGAAAGACCGACTGGCTGCAAGCAGAAAGCTATAATATCACGAAAAGAGGTAAGTGAACCAGAAAGAAGAAAACAAACAACAAGACCTCCGCCGGGATCGTGGAGGAAAGATGATGCTTGTCAGTACGGAAAGTACATGTACATGAACTTACTGAATGAAAGCCGCGCAAAGTGGTACGTGTAGTTCAAGTAGGACACCAGTACATGCAGTCAGTATGTGCACGTGGAGCCAGCCACAGTTCACAGGTACATGTACTAGAAATCACACCTTCCCGAGAAAAAAGCGGGGGCCGTGCACTGTACAGGTGTAGTGAGTGTACGACACAGTCACAGCATCACTTTTACTGACTGCGCGAGCTAGTATGCAGTGCCGTTTATGCATCGCAGTTTCCTGCGAGTCCCTGTGATTTTTGAGTCGCACACGATCGATTTTGAATCGCAAACTGCGATGCGATACTGGATAAATTCATCCCTGATGTTTCCGCATTTGTCCATGGCAACGTTCAAGCCGCGCGAAACACAAGGTACACACACCGTACACCACGTGCAAAATAAGATGCAAAACGCGGTTTCGGTTCATGGTACATGCGGTGGGCGCACGCAGCCAACGCGTCTCCAAAGCAACAATGCATGTTTAGCAGTCGTGGAGAAATCACGTAGAGCGAAACCCAGCAGCTCTGATTTTTACGTATGAAAATTCCGTGCAGTTCATACGTTATTTTCATACGTAATTCCGTAGAGCGAAACCTCCCTAATACTGGGAGTTTTTTGACTAATCATTTTTTAATGATTTCTGAAGCTTGCAGGCACATGTTGCACTAAATAATCCAATTTCCAAAATTTGAGGCTAAGCACTCTTTTCGCGTGCTCTGGGTCATATGTGTGTTGTTCAGACCATTTCTCAGTGTACCACAAGAAGTCGTGTGAGGAACTCTCGGCCAAGGACTACACGCCTATTATGGTGATATTTGCATCAGAGTTTCCCGGTGAGAGGCACGACCTGTCATCACACTTCAATATTCAGTATAACCTTTGTAATCCCCTATGTTTTCTTGCTGTTGTTGTTGTTGTTGTTGTTGTTCTCCATTCTATATGTAGGCATGTGCACTTGCCACTTTCATAAAAAAAACCTAAAAAAAACCTGTAACTAAAAACCACCGTGACTAGCGACCAGCCTGGTACTACAGACCACTTCGCCAGGCACGGACGGTCTCACGTCCATATGTGGTTGTGCCGTGCAAACCTCTGACTAAGGACCACCTGCCACTAAAGACCGCATTCTCTGGCCCCAAGGGGTGGTCGTTAGTCACAGGTTTTTACTGGACCTTGCCTCCAGAGGGATACAGTCTATGTGTGTAAGAGCACATCATGTAACGCCATCTAAAATTAACGATTTCCGGTTTTTGTTATGAGGAAAGTTTTAAAGGGGAAGTATACCCTAGAATCAAATTTTGACCAGTTGTAGTCTTCAGGGTGCCGAGTCGAATGGTCTTGATCGGAGGAAGCTGAGACACTCCCTTCCTCCTTCATTCCCAATTGAACTCGCGCACTTACACCGAAACTGGGTGACTGCGCCCTACTAGATGGGAATTTGTATGCGAAATGTCACTAAAAGCGGCATTTCATTCTTATAGGAGCACGGATGACCGCGATTGGCCCAGAATGTTGTAGTCTTTTGGACACTGAGTCGACTGATTTTGGTCCGAAAAGGCTGTGATGCAGCGTTCGGCCCTTATTCCCAAACGAGCACCGTTGAGTAAGCGCTCACGTGCTCGTGCGTTCACCAGTCGCCTGGTCACCGAGTCTGCAGGGTACAACTTACAGCCTGTTTGGGCGTGTTCCTGTCACTCGAGTTGAACTATTGCACCTTTGAGTTTAACCTTGGTGTGAAAGTATCTAGTAGGGCGCAGTCACCCAGTCTCCGTGGAAGTCACCCAGTCTCCGTGGAAGTCACCCAGTCTCCGTGGAAGTGGCTCGGTATGTCGATGTATACTTTCTGACGGAATCACATCTCCATAATATTATTCCATTGGTTTTGTTCATTTCAGCCTTCATGCAATTGTTATCCTGAAGAGAAGGGAAAGAAAACGTTTGATAGATGAAAGTGTCTACTTCATTGTGTGGATTTGTGTCTTTGAATGCGAAGTTATAGATTGCGAAATTTCTTAGTAAGTAAAAAGAAAAGTTCACACATCCGCGATAACACCGGCTTACGATTTTGTTGAGAAACACAACCAGCTTAGGAAGTTTCGCTCGTGCCAGGCCACCACCATGCCTGTAATACCAGGGTGGCAGATGCAGTTCCTAACGGCGAGGGTGAGGTGGTAACTCTCACAACCAATGCCCGACAAGGGTGCTCACCTCGTTAACTGCATCCATGTTACCCTCACTTCGAGTACAGAGTACCCTGTTGACCGTGGGTGTCGCCGCAGCTCCTTGCAAGTATAGTGGTTCACGCATGCATTGCCGCATTTGTTAGCACAGTACACGCTCCCTGCTCCCAGCGCGGGTCTCGTACTCGGCACCTTGTGATTCGCAGGCAAGCCCACGACCACTCAGCCAAAGCGCTGGTGTTAATAACTTAGTAGTACTCAAGTAGTAATATTTCCACTGGGGTATATGAATATGTTATAACTCCATGTGAACACACACAAGCGGAAGAAACCGTCAGAGATCAAATTCCATTACACAGTGTTTCACCGTTCAAGCAACGGATCATCAGATGGACCTTTTAGTTTGAGACCATTCCCTTGTGTAACTCCATGTGAATGGGTGTATGTGTGTGTGCGTGTGTGTGTGTGTGTGTGTGTGTGTGTGCGGGTGCGCGGGTGTGTGCGGGTGCGCTTGTGGGCTACTGTTGCAGCGTTGTTTGTGACGTACTTTTCGGCAAACATTCTCGGCCGCAAGGTTGCATTGGCACTGGCATTCGTCTTGTCTGGGGTATTCTTCGCACTGCTTCTCATCTGTCCAATTGCAGAGTAAGTGATTTTCAGAGGGCTTATGGATGATGAATTATTCATGCGCATATCATTCAATCGTTAAAAAGAATGAAGAAATGGTCACGAAAACGCACTGCGGGCATTATTAGTAGCAAGAGATAATAAGCAAAAGTGTGTGTAAATCTGATCTACTTTGTATGGAGCAGATGAGCGATGTGCTGCCATCATTACATCATGCATTACCTCATGCAGCTGGTGCATTTACACATAGTTATAGGCTTCAAAGTCAGCTCAATGTTGTGCCTGGTCGGTCCAGCAACTCTGATGACTGTTGGCATTATTGCCGTACTTAAAGGGGAAGTTAAAGCTAAAATCAAAATTTCACCAGTTGTAGTCTTCGGGGTGCTGAGTCGAATGGTCGTGGTCCGAGGAAGCTGAGACGCTCCCTTCCTACTTGAATCCCAATCGAACTCGCGCACTTCCACCGAAACTGGGTGACTGCGCCCTACTAGATGGGGATTTGTATGCAAAATGTCACTAAAAGCGCCATTTCGTTCTTATAAAAGCACGGATGACCGCGATTGGCCCATATGTTGTAGTCTTTCGGACGCTGAGTCGACTGGTTTTGGTCCGAAAAGGCTGCGATGCAGCGTTCCTCCTTTATTCCCAATCGAACATGGTTGAACAAGCGGTCACGTGCTCCTGCGTACACCAGTCACCTGGTCACCGTGCCTGCAGGGTACAACTTACTAGCCTGTTTGACCTTTTTTGGTTGCAGTCCTGTCACTCGAGTTGAACTCGAGTTGAACCTTGGTGTGAAAGTTGTCGCCTGCTGGCGTGGTGACCAGGTGATTTGGGCACCCAGGAGCACGTGACCGCTTGTTCAAACATGTTTGACTGGGAATAGAGGAACGCTGCATCGCAGCCTTTTCGGACCAAAACCAGTCGACTCAGCGTCCAAAAGACTACAACATATGGGCCAATCGCGGTCATCCGTGATTTTATAAGAATGAAATGGTGCTTTTAGTGACATTTTGCATACAAATCCCCATCTAGTAGGGCGCAGTCACCCAGTTTCGGTGGAAGTGCGCGAGTTCGATTGGGATTCAAGTAGGAAGGGAGCGTCGCAGCTTTCTCGGACCAAGACCATTCGACTCAGCACCCCGAAGACTACAACTGGTGACATTTTGATTTTAGCCTTAACTTCCCCTTTAACCACTCGATGTTTCGGTGTGTCAAATTGAGGAAAGCGGCTTTGACATCATTGCTTGTGTGTCGAATTACGGAGACCGGCTCGACGTCACTGATTTCCTTCAGCCCCCATTTAAAACCTCCTCTCCCCTTTCCAAACTCTTCCTTGCAATGTGCTTCTGTTTCCCCCTGTACATAACCCCTCCATGTGCTGGTGTGTCCAATTGAGGAAAGCGGCTTTGGTATCATTGCTTCTGTGTCGAATTACGGAGAGCGGCTCGATGTCACTGATTTCCTTCAGCCCCCATTTAACACCTCCTTCCCCTATCCATCCCAAAATAAGCCCAGTGCGCAGTGACGTATTTTGAACCGTGAACACCCCACACAGCCACCTGGGTGCGTGGTCGTCTGGGGTGTTGAACAGTGCATTGCTGATCCCAGCGTACTCACATAACACCCCACACAGCCACCTGGGCATGGTCGTCTGGGGTGTTGAACAGTGCATTGCTGATCCCAGTGTACTCACATAACACCCCACACAGCCACCTGGGCATGGTCGTCTGGGGTGTTGAACAGTGCATTGCTGATCCCAGTGTACTCACATGCATTACTCATACCTTCCATATTTGGCAATGCACAATGGTCTTAACAACCTCTTCCTTGCAATTTGCTTCTGTTTCCCCCTGTACTTAACCCCTCAATGTGCTGGTGTGTCCAATTAAGAAAAGCGTCTTGGACATCATTGCTTGTGTGTCAAATTAAGGAGAGCGGCTCTACGTCACTGATTTCCTTCAGCCCCCATTTAACACCTCCTTCCCCTTCCATCCCCGATCAACCTCTTCCTTGCAATGTGTTTCTGTTTCCCCGCTGTTGTACAGAGCTTGGACAACGTTCTTCTTGGCCGGTTCACGTATGATGGTGACCACGTGCTTCAGTCTCATGATCATCTACACCCCGGAAGTCTATCCGACGTATGCACGTGGCATGGCCGTGGGTTTGTCCAGGGCCGTGTACAGAGTGGGTAGTGCAGGTGTGCCCTTTCTTTCACAGGTCAGTATTATGCAACAGCTGTGTGCTGTGTGTAGCATGGCAGCTGCTCTGTGTGTGTGTGTGGGGGGGGGGGGGGGTGTTGTATGTGTGTGTGTGTGTGTGTGTGTGTGTGTGTGTGTGTGTGTGTGTGTGTGTATGTGTGTGTGTGTGTGTGTAAATAAGTACAAGTGTGTGTATAGCATACGTGTGCAAAGGGCAAGCCACATCCCGCAGGAACATGTTTTAAAGTCAAAGAATAACAATCTCAGTGGATTCACTCCCTTAGGAACTGTGTGTGCATCTGCATTCCTGAGGGTGCTGGTTGCCATGCGAGTACCTGCAGCAAGTCCGTCTGTCACTCTGAGTCTAGCCGGGTCGTATAATGTATTTATATCCATGTGAAGTCCTACTGCAAGCACAGTCCTGCTCAATGAAACCCGGTCGCGGGAGTGAAGTTTGCGCCTTGCACCATGTCGCAGCCCAGCGTTCGCAGGTCCAGGGCTGAGCGCAACGCCCGGCGCATACTGGAGTGACTGGACTGGATTTCATTGAGTGGCATTGTATAATACGTGTGTGGGGGCGTCTTGTGAAAACTGTGTACGTGTACATGGAAAATATGCGTGTGAAGTCTGGCTGTACGTACGCTTGCCTGGCTGTAAAAAAATAGTTATGGTCCACCCGAATGTACATGCACTGTGTGTATGTGTGTGTGCGTGTGTTTGTGTGTGCGTGAGCGAGTGTGTGTGTGTGTGTGTGTGTGTATGTGTACATGAGCGAGTGTGTGTGTATGTGTGTGTGTGTGTGTGTGTCTGCATGTGTGTGTCTGCATGTGTGTGTGTGTGTGTGTGTGTATGTGTGTGTGTGTGTGTGTGTGTGTGTGTGTGTGTGTGTGTGTGTGTGTGTGTGTGTGTGTGTGTGTTTGTGTCACTGTACATGTGTGTTCTGCAGGTATTGCTGAGGGAGTCTAGTTATGCCAGCAAGTCAGTACACGCCGGTGCCTGCATCATAACCGGATTTATGCTACTACTGCTGCCCATTGAAACCAGGAATAGGGACCTGGATGTAAGTAGAGACACAAACACACAGCAACCAACATTGCCTCCTCAGTGACCTACAAACACACAGCAACCAACATTGCCTCCTCACTGAGCTACTGTCGTGGACATGGAAATCCACTCGAATGACCGGGGCCTGCGCCCTCAGTGTCAGAGCTTACAGAACGCAACGTCGTTGCATGCGGTGCACATGTTGATCCGATGCGACTAGCGTGCTGCAACGCGTAAATGCTTGTGTTTGCCGCTTACCCACGGCTGCATGGCCAGCGCCCTGGGGCCGCTAGACGAGCGATCGGATTTCCATGTCCACGACAGTACAAACACACACTCTGTTGATTAACACACTCGGTGGATCAACACACGGTCCTCACATGCTGGATATTACATGCTGCGTAGTACCCGGCAACGCTATTTTATTCATGAGGTTTGATTTCTTTGACCACTACTGTCGTACACACCGGATATTGTGCAGGCCTAGACATGCAGGCGCTGGGATGTGAAGCGGTGCAGCAGCAGGGAGCAAACTTGACTCGCATGATCGGGTTCAATTGTGTAATTGTACATCAATGCACACATGCAAGCAAATATGTGTGTGTGTGTGTGTGTGTGTGTGTGTGTGTGTGTGTGTGTGTATGTGTGTGTGTGTATGTGTGTGTGTGTGTGTGTGTGCGAGGGTGTGTGTGTGTGTGTGTGTGTGTGTGTGTGTGTGTGTGTATGTGTGTGTGTGTGTGTGTGTGCGAGGGTGTGTGTGTGTGTGTGTGTGTGTGTGTGTGTGTGTGTTTGTGCACATGTGCGTGCGTGTGAGGGTGCGGGTGTGTATGGACGTATGTGTATGTGTGTACACGCGTGTATGCGTGTGCATATGTGTGTGCACGTGTGCGCATGCTTGTGCAACTTGTCCTGCTCCACTTTCTAATTTACAGGACTGAATATTCACGTCTGAACGCTAGAAACCACACACGCACGCACGCACGCACGCATGCACGCACACACGCACACTGCCACTGCTACCTTGCTCAGAGGGTGCTAGCGCTCTGGCTTACGGATTGGTGGAATCCAGGATATGCAGTGGTCGCATCAAGGTTGTGTCTGCAAACGTGTTTGAACAAGACCAAGTCATGCAAGCTGCCTGGATAAGATCAATGGCAGAGCGCAGCACCATTGATCGTACGGTATTCTCTACGCATCCGATTCAGCGTGACAGGTCACAGCTAGTGTTTGAGTTGCCAGAGTAAAGAGTAAGTAAACTTGTTCCACTCGTTGCGTTCAGCAGCATTTCTCAAGCGTCAAACCTTGCGCTAGCCCTAATATCTATGATCAGAATAGAAGTGCAGTGTACTAGCAACCGCTGTAGCAGCACCAGCATGAATAGCACCAGCATGAATAGCAGCAGCATGAATAGCACCAGCATGAAGAGCATCAGCACCTGAAGTAACACCACCAACAGCAGCACCTTGACTAGCACTAATATAATTATATGATTAGAATAGAAGTACGGCGTAGAAGCAACAGCTGTTGCAGCACCAACACTAACACCAATACCTATAATCATAATTGAAGTAGTAGTTACATCAGCATTACATCAGCATCAGCAGGATGAACAGTTTCAGCATCAGCAGGATGAACAGTATCAGCAAGCACTAGTTACATTTGTACCAGTGTTTGTAATGGGGTTGGCTGACATGTCATCGCGACGGTATTCTCTAACGGCGGGTTAGTGACTGTGAACTCCGCCATAATGGCTGCGTGTGGCTGTAACGTGGCTGAGTGTTCAGTGATGGTTTGAAACAGTTCACTGTGGGTGTATAACTATAGCTAGACTGGCTGGTCCGTTCGAGCTACACAACATGTCTACCTGTGAACGCTGCTACATCAGCAAGTTTGGTACGTAGGCAGTCGCAGTACTCGAGTTGTAGGCGTGTAGCACAGTGGTGATGTCATTGTTGATGTCATGTTCCCACCGCTGAATACTGCTGATGCCATTGTCCCAATGATGATGTCAGGTTCTCACTGCTGATGCCATGGTCCCAGTGATGATGTCATTGTTGATGCCATGGTCCCAGCGATGATGTCATTGGTGATGTCCTGTTCCCAGTGATGATGTCATTGGTGATGTCCTGTTCCCAGTGATGATCACTGTCATAGGTCCCGATGACGATGGCATGTATATAGCGGTGACATCATGTTCCCAATAGGTGACATCATGCAACGATAGTTGTTCTGCATGACTCTTACCCAAGTAAGATAAGAATTTGACAATGGAATTTTCTCATTACTAAGGGGTTTCTGCACCGCACTATGTGCATACCGACGTTCCATGTGCGCTGAAGCGTACGCACGCCTCCAAGCCTAAATCATTTCAATGACTACGCCTCCATGCCTAATTTATTCCTGTGATTACGTACAGGCATGCCAAAGGTATTCCTGTGATTGCCTACACGGGCGGCATGCCTGTTATTCCTGTGATTATGTACAGAGCAATTGCTCTTGCAGCATCATTGCCATCCACACCTGGAATACTCTCTCCCGACTCCCGTTGTTAGTAGTACTACTAGTATGCTATCCATATAGTGTGCTACCCGTCCATGATTTGTTACCGCCATTCTAAATGGATATCTCCCCCCCCCCCCCCCCTCGCACAGACACGCGAACGCACGCACGCACACACACCCTGCACTGGTTGCTATTTTCGCTTTTTTTCATCACTGGAATATCTGCTTCTTTTTCAGCCATCTTCATGTGTAGCCGTGTTCAATTCCCCTCAGCCATGCTCAATGTTCCCTCAGCAATGCTCAATCCCCCCCCCCCTTTGTTACCCCCTTTTTTGTTGCAGGTGCGAACCCGTCTGGGTGTGAGAGTGAGAATAGGTCACGGTCTCTGATTGGCCAAGACTGGTTGACCAATCACAGCACACTGCACACACGCACAGACCAGGGCCATGTCGGGCAATTTTATTCAGTTCCTTCCACTACTTCCTTCCTTTATCAGGCTTCAAAGGGATGTTGAACAGTCCTTGACAAAACAGAAAAGGTTGAGTTCTATCTATTAGTGTGCCTTGTGGAAGGTACCCCAACCCTTACATGGGGTAGTACTATAAGGTGTAGGTACTAGTAGGTACTCAACCTTTTCTGTTCTTTCAAGGACTGTTCATCATCCCTTTGAAGCCTGATAAAGGAAGTAGTGGAAGGAACTGAATAAAATTGGAAATCTCAGAAATGGCAGATTTCGAATTTTTCAGTCCCTCCCAGCATTTCCTTTATCAGGCTTCAAAGGGATGAACAGTCCTGGAACTGAGAACAGGAAAGGTTGAGTTCCGCTCTAAGTGTAGATGGGGTACATGGAAGGTGTAGTAGGGGGGGGGGGGGGGGGGGGAGTACCTTACCATGTACATGTGTGCAGAGGGTGCGGGGGGGGGGGGGGGGGAGTGTTATAAATGTGTGTGAAGGGGTGTGGGGGTATTCTAGGCCGTCTGGGAGGGGCTTTGACGGCTTTGTTGTTCCTTTACTTCAAGATCAAAGTCATGGTGACAGTAAGTGCGAGTGAGTTGCTGCGAACTCCATGCCCGCTACTGACGAGGCCCACCACATCAGTGTGTGACGTGATGCGGCAGCAATAGGTAAATGTCAGGGAGAGAAAACAAATCAAATTACAAATGCTTTTTAAAATAATACATTATGCTAAAATTTGAAGAAAGTAAGTAGAACTGAAACAACAGTGAAGAAGCACAAAGTGCTACTTTGAATGGGGGGGGGGGAGCTTGGCACAGCTATAGTTTAGTAAAAAATAACACTTCGCCAGGGAAAGGCGTTTCCAAAATAGCTTTCGAAATATTCGTAAAATCAACACAAAATATTGCTAACGGATGCCGCTAGCTGCAGAGGGCTTTGGTCTTCCCTGAAATTCCCGGTGAATAGCCTTTAGGGCTGCAGTACCGAGTCTGCATGCAGGAAGTGGGGGGGGGGGGGAGTGGGACGCTGTGTTACGGCTAAAAACAAGCCATGTGCAGTAGTCCCAACACGTTTACATACACATTTGCCCATCCAGGCGCTTACACCAACCGTTGTCCTTCAGGAAGACAAACAACCCAGCGGGACTGGTGCAGGATGTGTTGGTGAAAGGCAGGCAAACTAAAAAAGTGAACAAATACACTGTGTAGTTTGAAAAGGAAGTAGATAATATCAGTATAGCTCTCACAGCTGAAGTGGGTACCAGGCAACGGCATGCCGTTACACACTGCTGCACTCGCCACAGGCACAGGCGCATGAATGTAAGGACACACACACGTGCATGCATGCATGCACGCACACACACGCACACGCACACACACACACACACACACACACATACATACACACACACACACACGCACGCACACACTAATCGAAGTATCAAGACCAGACTAACCCGCACACATGATCTGGGTGCAAGGTGAACACTGGGACAGAATATAGACACTGGTCTACGAGTGGAAGCCCACAGCACACAACAATACACATTGCACACAGCACACGGCACACGGCACAGGTATACTGACCTGAGTCAAGGACACTGACGGTCATGGCGGAGCCAGCAGCCACCAGGCCAGGCAAGTGCCGCTGCTACATTTAGGTCCTGGGAGACCGGGCTGGATTGAAAATACTGTGATGCTGCTGGCCATGCGGTGTCTCATCATCCCTCCTGAAGTCACAAAGATTGTAGAAAATACAGACAGACAGACAGACAGACAGACAGACAAGGAGAGAGATAGAGATGACCAGACAGGCGGACAGATGGAAAGATAGTTGCCCAGACACGTGGGAGTTCACACGTGCACAGCACACGTAGATATGTTGTTCAAAATAAATGCACAAATGAATTGCCTCTTCTCTCTCTCTCTCTCTTTCTCTCTCTCTCTCTCTCTCTCTCTCTCTCTCTCTCTCTCTCTCTCTCTCTCTTTCTTTCTTTCTCGATCACTGTGACTGAGGTGGAGTTTGCAGACAATGCTGCATTGTTGACACCTCTGAAGCATGTCTTGACACACTGTCCACTGCATGTGCTGCGTCATGAGGCCTCATAGTCGGCACATCACAGACAGAGGCTATGGCTGTAGGTGGCGGTTCGGAAGGAGCAAATGCCATCTTGACTGACGGAGAAGTTATCGAAATGGTGAACAAGTTTGTGTACTTTGTCAACAGGGTGAATGCTGATAGTTATTTGGATACGGAGGTATCGCGATGTCTTGCCACGTCATCCCGTGTCTTTGGCTACCTCCGAGAGCCCATAATTTTGTAACAAAACACAGACGAATCGGACTAAGTGCATGTCATAAGTCAGTAGTCCTCTCCATGCTGTTCCATGGCTCAGAGACATGGACTGTCAAGGCCAAGCAACTTCACCAAATGAACAGTTTTCATTGAGCCTGCATCCTCGGCATCCGCCGCGTGTCCCGTACTGAGCAGTGGGTGAAAGGTACTTGACGACACACACACACACACACGCACACACGCACACACGCACGCGCGCACACACACACACACACACACACACACACACAGCTACTCACGCCAAGATCTCTGTTCTTGGTCTCAATGGGCAGGAAGAGCAGCATCACACCCGTCGCTATGCATATCCCTGCATGTAGGCTTTTACTGGCGTAAACCGACTTTCTGAGCAACACCTGTGCAAGTCAGAGCAGAACAAAACAAGACCAGGTCACTCACTTCAGTAATGGTGGGAAAGGTCTCGGCAAAATTCCAGTCACTTCTGTGTTTCGTGTGTTTGTTCGCTTCCTCCAACCAACAGTCTATTCACTCCGGCACTTTTCAGGAAATGAATGCTGTTCAGTGAAATCCATGCAAGCAAGTGAGCACCGCATCAGGGGCGTAGTGTAGACCAACTGGTTGATGGCATGCTGGGCAATCAGGTAATTCTGCCAATGGTCCCACCGAACAAATTCATCGCTGTGGGCCGGATAGCGGCCTGCAGACTCTAGATAGCTGTGTAATAGGTGTATTAATGCTACGACCTGTACATACTCACAATTCGTATTTCCCGCTCGTTCCCCTTGGCAATGAGACTCACATATAGAAGAGCGCATGCTCCAGTGGGTCTCCAGTTCTGTTCTGTTCTGTTCTAGTCTGTCTTGAGTGGTCGTTGTCCTGTTCTCCTTCTGTCTACACTCTTATCGAATACTTCTATAATCCAATCATATAAAACCCCTGTGTTCCGGTGTGAGGGGACTTCCGGGAGCAGCTAACACTGGTGGCAGCGGTGGGATTCGAACCCACGCCTCCGGAGAGACTGGAAATCACTTTGAATGTATTGCAGGCAATGCCTCTGTGTGTCACTGCACAACCTAGCTCCTCACCTGCGACAGGAATGGTACGAGTATACTCCCGATGCGGTACTGAGTACGTGAGAAGCCCACTGCAAGGCCACGTATGTACGTCGGGTAAACCTCAGCCGTGT